TGTAGGAAACTTCAGAACGCCAAATATCTTATTCATCAGTAGTACGCTTACAACTAGCGCTGCCTAACGGCAGGAAATACTAACTTCATCATGTTATGTCGGATAATTTCTCATCTTAGTACATTTTGAGGCTATCAGCAAGCGTGCGAATTTCTGAAGTGGGAAAACTATTGGCGACTTCCAGTGTAGGACATTGGAACTGCGGAGTTTTGACAAATATAAGCGTCTATTAAAGTTGCAACAGAGAATAAATTAAGAAGAGGAAATAAATATATTAATATGACGATCGCGCCAAATATTTTGATGTTATAACAATTAAAGCATCGTTATTAACTTGACGTGTGAAGTCTATACGATAACATTTTTTAAATATATTAACTATATAAAAACGTTCAAAGTTTTAAATCTTACAGTAGCGTAAACTATTCCATACCAATGACGAGTTTGTTAAGAATATACCAAAATGGTTGGCTTTTGTAAAAACTGCAGTGAACCTGCGAGTTTCGTAACAGCAGATCCTTTGAAGCCAAAGTTTCTGTAAGTAACATTTAAGAATTCAGTCCGTTCTTACTTACATAAATCTCAATTTTTTTAAAAAAAAAACCAGACGCAGCTGCTTCGTATATGGTATGTAACTATCTTGTTAGTCGTTTGCAACAAATACATGATACGTTTTCTATACCATTGACATTTAAAGGAATGCGAAATAATTGCTTCCGTATGAAGTGTGATAGCTTATTTGTTGATGAAATTTTCTACCAATGGATGTGTTTCCAATGTATAAGAGTCAAGGCTGTATGCCACATGGCAAGGAGAATAGGCTAAATGTTTTGCTTTCATTCTTTTCAATTTGATAATTACATATACGTTAATTCTTTTCATCTTTAGGAACAAATTTACGCAACGTTAAAAGCACCCATTTCCAGCCATGTCGTGTGTTAAATCTCGATTCTGAGTGACATTAAACAGTGTTTTAGTAAACAAACGACCACTAATAGTACTTTATATAGTTGTCAACACTTTTTTATACAAAACGCCTGCCGTTAGACCTATTAGCATGTCTTATACCAACTTAATAAATGTAAATAATACGATACTTAAGAAATGCATGTTATTTCTTGTCTGTAGTGGGTCGTATAATGATAATTTCCATGTAAACTGTACGTAGATACATATTTATTAAGATGGAGATCTGAATTACTTCCTCCTTTTGTAGTACTTTTTTTTTCGCACATGTCCTATGCATTGTTGATTTTAATTATATAGATTAATTCATAAATGTATTATTTTTTTTTTCGACCGAACAAGACATGAAAACGTGTTGCCCGGGGATCTCACGCTATGAGTCGAAAGCCACAGCTGTTACCGTTTACCAACATTTTGTCGTGTGCCGCCACAAACATGGGCTTGGACACGGTAAACACTTAAGTCATTCATCACGAAAGTAATGACTGTGTTTTAACATGACACTGTCGAGGAGAACATCAGGCACGTGGAGTAATAAGGATAAGACAGGAAATTATATACCAGGAATATTTATAGTTTTCTCGGACAGATTTTCAGTAAATATTTTAATATCTTATAAAATAAACATACTGCCTAAGTAGGATTTGAGGTTCTCACGGCTGTGAGTACGAAGATGGCTGTCTTCTGGTTAGTAACGCCGTGTAGTCTGGCAGAAGTTTACGAATGTTTCAGAGGTCCTTTCTGCCTCCATCATCAGAGCGAGGAGATACTATCCAATTAAAGCCCTTAATAATACGACCTGAAGCTATAACACCGTTGATACTACAGTCAACTATTGGACACGTTACTGAGTCAGTTCCACCCACATCCTCACAATCAAACTCCTGAGGATGTATCTGAATGTTATTCTTCAATTTCCTTCTTGGTCTTCTAAGATATTATTTACCAAGACATTTCTGTAACCAAATTTTGTATTATTCTTTTTAATTTCTTGTCTCGCTTCTCATAACGTTGCTACTAGAGATTTTACGCATCCGACAAGGATAAACGTTTTTAGAAGACTGGTCACAATGTACGGATCTCAGTTGACATGTAGAGAGAATATTTACGCCAAGTATATAATTCTGTAATATTCTAATTATGAACTGTTTCACTCTAAAATTCAAACGCTTTCTTAAGCAATCTCCTTCTCTCGATCTAAGATGCAGCGTTTAATTTTGCATACAAAAACCAGGTTGGTGTGATTTTAAGTTCTCTGAACGATGAATTTGAAGATGTCTCTCGTCTGGGTTGTTGCGCCGTTTAGCCTGGTAGTCGCTATGATCGCTTTCAATGTGGAGGTTGTAAGATCTTCTGAAACGTCAGTCAATTTTTTACTGGACTACGTGGCGCAATATCCATAAAACATTTATCTTCAAAAAGCAAGTTTTTTTTTACATACGGGTCTTCAGAATTTTTAGAAGTGGAGAGGACATTAACATTTTTAAAATAAATCTTAAGAAGCATTTATAAAAGATATACTTTTCCTAACGTTTTCGAGAACATTGATCGAAGCTTAAATTCTGGGTCGGAGGGTAATTTAGTTCCAGAATCGCATGAGAACAGTGCATTTCTGAATACAATAGGCCCTTAAAGACATAAGCCAACCAAAAAATGCAAACCTTACATATCAGGAGCTCAGTAATGTGGCGTAAGAATTATTAAAGGAATAAATATGCACGGAAGCAATAGCATTTGTAAATCTCATGGTAAATGACCTCTTGAGAGACAAAGATGAGAAGATTATATTAAAATTAATTTTAAATAAATAAGTCGCGATGGTATGCACTGGACTGCATTGTTTAAGCACTAAAATTATTGCCTGACGGATGTAGATCTGCAAGTTTTATAACAACAAATGTCAGTATCAGCTGAATAAATCTTTTAAAGAAAGGCCTTTCACTACGGCGTTAATTACATAATAGGTTAGTCAGTTACGCTAATTAATCAGATTTTCAGATCACGTAAGCAGGCAGTTGGTGAGTTAGTCAGCTAATTGTTTCAGTAAAGTAGCAAGTTTTTTCAGACAGTTATTTTAGTTGGCTAGGGAGTTAGGTTTTAGCTCTGTGTTCTCACTTGCCAGACTTTTTAATGTAAAATCAGGATAGCTAATGAATAAAACTTGATGACAAGAAAACGTAATATGTTAATTGTACTTTTTCGCTTCATTATTAGAATTAATATTATTTTTACAAATTTATAAGTGCAGTTTTAAAAATAAAGATTGTTCAGTGTCGTAAAATAATTTTACTCGTATATTCTGAAAACAGGTCTCATTATTAAGTCGCGGGACTTAGAAACACGATAAGGGAAGAAGGATCTGCAAGTTGAGTCCTTATAGGGAGTTGATGGAGCAGTAACGCTCTATATTTGTAGGGTACGTGGTTTGAAACTCGGTTAGTTAACCACGTGTTTTGACTCAGGTTCTTTGTGTACGTTCTCATTGTCTGCACACGAACGTCTTTCTGGGTAGCGCCTTTAAGTAGGTCATGCTTGTTTGATCACCACGGACAAATGGACTATTTATTATTCATATTATCCTTCATCAACACACAGCTCTCCCGAGTTACCCCTTCTCTTGAGATTTTTCGACTAATATTTAACATGTATTTCTTATGCGTGATATATTCCTCGTCTATCCCCTTGATTACATCGCTCTTATAACAAAAATTCTTATCATTCAATTTTTATGCAGAATTTTCTTACACAGTCTACTGCTGTTATTGTGATTATTACTATACTACTCATAATTACTCCGCAAAGAACTATTTTACCATGCGGTTATAAGCTGTAGGCGTACATGATAACTTCTTCGTTCAATTCTTGTTCAACAAAATTTGTCCTGAACGAAGTGTATGATTTGTATGCTTTAGTAAACACAACAATAAATCCCTGGGCTCCATAAAGTGTGTAATTTATTGAGCAGCTGAGTAACTATCATCTTTTTAAGAAAGACAATGCACCTTTAAAATAGCTACTTATTTGAATCGTTTGTAAGTTGGTTACTTAGTAAGTCAGTAGCAATAAGGAATTTTCTATTTGTGGTTGTGTTTTAGAAGTCAGTAGATTCACGTAAGTTATTACGCTGAATTTCCTGTGTTACAAATCCATAAAATGTTATCAGGCAGTTAGGTGAGACCCACAATTTTAAGGCACACTTTTCATAAGAACGTAATATCAATTTGATCTTACGTGCAGTTGTTTTGGTATTACCCGTCCCTGCCTACATGTGGAATAAAATGGTGTTAAATATTTATGACTCTTTTCTGTATGAAATTCAGTGTCTTTTTCCACGAGCCATTTCGTAACGCAAAACGCGTTACTAGAAGCGAGATTCTAAAAATACAGTTGCCACCCGCAGATACATTGATAGGGCAGAAAGTTGTTGCACGGAAGAAATAAACAGTGAGTGATGAGGATTCTGAAGATGGTTATCCCAGCACACACACGCATATTGCGAAGTTTCCTTCCCGCTTACTGATCGTAAGAAGCTTTTCGAGAAGTTATGACATCGCTTCCTTGAATATTCAGTCTAAATCATCATCAATTACCGAAGATTATTATGTGTAGATACATCCTATACGTTTTAATTGTTCATGAAGTGATAGAATATATGTTAAAATTAGTAGGTCTATTTAAATATAGGTCTACTGAAGGCCGATAGTTATGTGTATGAAAGTGACTGTCTTCAAGGTACTCTCTGAAGATGGAAGTGCAAAGCACCTCCGAAACATCGGTCAGTTTCTACCAAACTACACGGCGCATCATCCCATAAGGTAATCTGCATATTCGCCACCGTGAGAACCTGAAACCTCGTGTAATGTTTAAAAATTTGGTGTCAACGTCGAAGAAAAAACACCAAATCTCCGTTTTAAATGTCAGTCTGTTCATGTTTTTTTTTCTTAAAGGAACAACATTTATTCTATGAACGAAATCAAATATGTAAATTTATTTTCTGTACGAAATACCGAGCAGGTGGCACACATAGTTCCCACCGACCTTTAAAGAGATTTGTTTTGCGGTTAATTGATCTTAGTAGCCATGAACACCGTCTTATATCCTCGGGTCGCCGCTTTCGAAGACTCTCAGGGCACAGAAGTTTGTATGTATTATCATCTCATTTGTCCTGAATTCGAAACGTTCTAAATATTATGCCATTCCATAAATAAGAAGCATATCACTGGTCATAATCACACAAATCTCGGGTGTTCTGTTGTATACTACACCCCCAGCCACCCCCGCCCCCCAGATACTGATAAAACGGGACTTCAGATCCGATTAAATGACCACAGAAAATTCTGAAGAATACTTCGTCAAAAATTAGTTACAGTATTAAAATTTATAATTAAGATCGTACTACGTTAGGCCCGAAATAAAGCTCAGTATGTAACAATCTGTGGCCCATATACCAAAAAGGGTTTGTCATTAGCTTTAACTGTAATCGGTAATTACAAAATTTTATTCCTAGAGATTTTACACCGTATGACATAATTTAAGAAATTGTATTGTACTGCTGGTTAGATAAGTTTTGTACACTAGCCTACTGATCTCATTTCTCGCAAGTGATAAGATCCTTCTTCTAGGTCTTGATGACTACCTATAGTCGATTCACGGAAACGAGGCAGTGGTGTAAAGAGAAGTTAGTGAACTATCCCGTAATCAATCACATGATCAGGCGGAACCCCTCATAACACTGTCTGGTCTCAGTGAATAGACAGTAGTGAGATAGTGGTTATTATTATTATTATTATTATTATTACTATCATCATCATCATCATGCTGACTTCTAAATCACACACAAGCATTATTTCAAATTTGTATTTTATATTAAATGACCAAACACTTATGAAGTGCCTAATAATTATATTTTTCACAATTAAACACGTGCCATACAAATACGGACAGGCCTACACCCCCAAAAAAGCATCTACAATAATCACAATAATGTTTCATGAATTGATATTACATTAGGTATATGTTTTTTTCTGAAAGTGTAGCGAGTCTTATGATAGAAAGTCCGTTACGTGTATTTTGGTGTCGTATAATAATAATAATAATAATAATAATCATAGATTAATTAAGTTGAACTTTTTATGAATTAGTACGCTGCTGTGCTCAAAATGTCCTTCAGATGGTCAAGACGAAAGAATCTTAGTAGCAGGGCCGTATGTAAATGACCGTTTGTGGGTTTTAATATCTTATCACCTGAAACACCTGGAATTGTATGAAGTATCGCTTCTGGAAAAATGTAATTAGTTACAAAATAAACATTATTATATGGAGTAACACTTATGTATGTAGGCTAAATCTGTGTAAAGAAATATGCTTCCGTTTTAATTACTTATTTCAAGGACCACCTAATAAAACAATTATCATATACGCTATTGAATACCAGTATTAAGAATTACAACTGCTAATGATTTAAACATCTAAAATGTACGATCCCCAAACCGAAACGGCAGATGATTTTACTGCATTCATCTCAGGAATGGGTAGCCCATCATGTTTTTTTGAACATCGATGAACAAGTTAATAGTCATACAAATATTCTCGAGCTGATTTTAAGTCCAATTTAAGCACACTTACTTAGCGCCAGTACACACGCATACTTCTTATACCTAAACCTTGTGTCTGATTTCATGTAGAATGTTAATACCTAATCGCTTCGTGTTCGCATCTCAGCTGTTTACTTTTTGGAATTCTATTCCTGAAAGACATTTTTTTTTTTTTGGAATTAAAATTTCCCGCGTCCCTACTACGCCGCAACAAACAATTACATATATACACAAAACAAAAGATACGTTACTTCAAATTATTAGTTAATAAAATGTAAACAGGAAACATGGCCGACAGCAGTTGAGAGATCTGTTAGCGTATCGTGTTGTAGGAGATTTCAAATTGTTATTTTAAAATTTAGTACAAATACGTTGTAATGTGTTACTTCAATTGTTTTCGATGTAAGTTATGATAGAGGCGCGGTACTACGTTTTTTCTAACCTACCAGAAGTCATTTATGCCAAATTATGAGAAACACTTCTCTAATACGTAGAAATCCCTTGACAAATACTTGAAAACAGTAGTTTTGAATTCAGCTTAAGTGTCGCAATCAAATGTTAAGTTCTTCTGCTTATGTTCTGTAGACGAGGCGCGGAAAATATTGTATTCCATCAACAAATATTAAACCGTAACATGAGAGACACGATATCCAATCACAGAAACGTATCTCTAGACCCTGAAAATGACGTATTTACGTTATTTGAAACGTAAACTTAATGGCCATCTGGAGGATATAATACAAATTAACATATTAACACGCTTTACTTACTGGTGCATTAACCCGTGCTTCTGCATTGACCAATGGTTTATTTCGCTTATCCCCGTGCCGATCCGTATTTAGCGAAACGGAGGACAGCGAACCACCCTTGTCCCGTGTGCGGGAAACACTATGTGAACGAGGGAAGCCTGAGGAAACACTTGGCGTGCCACCCAGAGACATCACAACTTACTACGTCTCTCAGGATGTGGCCTTGTTCTGTGTGCCAGGCTGTGTTCACGCATGAGTCAGGTAAGATTACACTGCTCTTATGGATGAAGATAAATATGATATGAATTCTTTGGAAGAAAGACACGAATGACAGTAATTAGTTGAACTTTTTTTAAAAAAAACTGTAATGAAATTATACGAAGAAGTGTCCTACAGGTCCCAAGATCTCATCGTTCGAATTTAATTTTCTCACAAATTTCGTTAAGAATTTTATTGGAAAACCAAAATTATCACTAATATGTCACACGAGTTACTTTATAGAATATATGCATGGAGGTAAGTTCAAGATTAAGTATGTACGATCCAATCGAGCGCGTCTCTCTGTAAGGAACGGATATTTTGATACTGGGTCTACATAAATTGAATTTGTATTTTTATTATTATTCGCAGAGTGTAATATGCAATTGTGATGTGGCTCTGGAAGTGATCTTCTGGGGACCTATTTAATGTGATTTAAGCCCCCCAGAACAAAAAAATTTACCGCATAGCGGTAGAGGTAATAATCAAGACTGCCAGTTAAGCGGTCTGATACCAAGTTTGTGGCCTGTATTAGCAGACGGCAAACAAATCATAAGAAAATTAAGGTGAGGTACTTACCCTCAACGTGGCCCTATTTCCGTAATAATAATTACAAATTCAATTAATAGATAAGAACTCAGGGCAACTTCGTCCCTTGGTACAAGCTACGATCCCATCTTTCGAGATTCCGTATAGGCGAGATTTCAGGTTCTCACTGCAGCGCGTATAATGATGATGTCTTCTGGGATGTTGCGCTTTGTAGTCTGGTAGACGTTTACCGACGTTTAAGATGCGCTCATTGCCGCCATCATCAAGGCTCACCGCTACGTCGCAACATCCCAGACGACTTGCCACCTCTGAAATACCATCTCATCGAAATGACACCGAGGTGAATATTTGTGTGAGAGTCTGTTGTCAGAAATTAAAGACGCCAACGGTTGTTGTCACGCTGTGCAGGGCTACTCAGCCACATGGAGCACATGCGGATGGACCCCAAGCACCAGTTCGCTGCTCAGTACGTGCTCAGCCGAGCAGCCGCAGAGCGTCGCGAGCGGGAGTCACTTCTGGCTGCAGCCGTGGCGGCGTCATCAGCTGGGGGCCTGGCCGGACTGGGGGGCGGCGGACCGTCGTCCATGTGTGCCAGTCCATCCGCGCACTCGGACAGTTCCTCAGGAGGCGGGCGGCTGTCCAGCACGGGATCTGAACCCGGCGGCATCATGAACAACAACAATAACAACAATAAATTGGGCGACATCTTGGGTGGTCGGGGTGGCAATGGACTGCAGCAGCAGTACGGTGCCGAGGACCTGCACAACGCAAGTCGCATG